TACCAGAATAGTATATTATTGTATATTTATAGTATATTATATTTTTTATATTCTATTATATTACATTATAGTATATTATATTACATTATAGTATATTATATTACATTATAGTATATTATATTACATTATAGTATATTATAGTATATCATAGAATATTATAGAATATTATAGTATATTATATTATAGTATATTATAGTATATTATAGTATATTATAGTATAGTATATTATAGTATATTATAGTATATTATAGTATAGTATATTATAGTATATTATAGTATATTATAGTATATTATAGTATATTAGTTCTGACTGAGGATTCACCCCTGCAGCAGCAGAGCCCACCTCAAGATCGCTTGGCAGCAGTCATCGCAGCAGAGAATTGGCCAACGCGAGGCAAGAGTCCAGATGTTTAAGTTACGTTTATTGGGGAAACCATATAACTTATTATATATACCCATTATGGTACCATATTACTTATTATGTATACCCATTATGGTAACTTGGGCTGGTCTTTGGCCTGGTCTTGAATGAAGGTACATGTTTTACTCTACAGGGTGGTCTCCGAGCGTGTGCACGCCAACATGTTACGGTCCTCAGCGCAGTCCTTCTGCATACTTTGTGCACTTCACATACAAGAGCTTGAAATTCGTTATGAGCAAGACGTACGAATCATATGCTGAACGTTATGGTGAGAGTATGTTTCTGTCTGGAATTCGCAATGTGTTTGGGGTGAAGGGCGGCTGTGTTCTTGCGCCTCTGTTACTCATGCTTTGCGTGCTGGTGACAGCGGCAAATCTTTGCACTTCAGACTCGACCTTACGGGAAGTGTGGATTTCAGGGTTTGCTTCACAAACTCAATCGGTAGCGGCTTGAGTGGCAGTGAAGCTTATACACTAGCGGCAATCATGCTGCAGCTGTTCTGGGTGCACAATATCTACAAACCTTGAAAACCTCGAGGAAGCGCAAGAAAGAAAACCAGATAAATGTCAGAAGACGGCCGATCCTATTTCACAATCCTGGTAGTGGCAAGCAGATACTTCATTCGATGCCAGCAGTATTGGAAGAGTTTTCGGGTTTCCAAGACCACACCCCTCTGGAAAAAACCAACAATATCAATACCGATAGAAATCGACATAGCAACCATAAGCAATACTAAGCTTCTGTGTTGGCAGGAGGCTTCAACTGGCAGGTGTGCCTTCCTACAGCGAGATGCTGGGATGCATTAGCAAGACAATCTGGAGATTTTCTTGGACAACGAAAGCCCCAATAGCTCTAGTGGTGGTTCACATGCATCCTGTGTAAGGCGAAAAAAGACAATGATGCCCGTCGCTCGACACTTGGCATCATCTGCGCTCATGCTTTAGACTTGGCTGGCTCTAATATTAGAATCCCAACGCGCTAGAAATTACTATTTCCCCCCAATACAGTGTCACCATATTTGGGGCGTTATCATGAGGAGGAGGCGACTAATCATCTGGTTCATCCTACTATCTTAGCATCAGCTTCGGACGTGCTGCTTTTTGAGGTCACCCAGAGGCGCATTTGGTTCCTGGATTTTGGGACGTTGGCAGATTGAAGAAGGGAAGCAGTGTAGCAATGCACTACTATATGACTCATGATGCATGGTGCCACTTATCCTTGCGTCATGTGGGTGGTTGTCGAAATTATGGTCCCTCTTTGGGTACCCTATTATAATACGGCACCTAAAATTAAGGGTACCCAAAAAGCGACCATAATTTTGTCAACCACCAATGTCGGGCGCTTCTGCCAGGTTGTTTCCGGAAAGAGCCGAGATGGGACTTTGCATCATCTGGGCTGCTCGCTTGCTTTCAGTTTTGCGCAACGGAGAATTCTCTGCATTCCTGAGGCCTTTATACACGGAAAGTAAAGTGGAAGCTACTATATAAATATGTTGCGGTTATATAGGGATAGTGGAAAAGAAAGTGAAAGCTACTGCACAGTATATTGTGTATGTCTGCCAGTTGAGGTTGGATTTTGGGCTGCTTGCCACTTCATGATGGCAGTTCCCGCGGCCACTCTGGAACGTCACGAAGCTTCAAAAGCCTGTCGGTCATTAAGCCATGAAATTCGGTTTTGATTTCCATTCTTCTTCCCCCAGAATAGCAGGCAAGAACATGACAGCTACAGTCACGAAAGCATTCCTTGTGCAGGTTTGTAACCGACCGAGGTGGAAAGATGGCCAGTGACCCTCAGGCAGCCCGCTGCACTTTTCGAAATTGGAAAGGTGAAGCAGTTTCATGGAAGAACATCTATTGATGGTCTTAATGTCCTTTCCGTTCATCATGGAGAAGACTTTGGAGATGACATACGTGTTTCATGGATGAAGATCTGCTTGTCTTCCAAAATGCAGGCAAAGCGTGGTGGACAAAGACGCTCAGTGCGCCCACTCTCTTGTGTTCTTCAAGCAATGAGATAACTGTTAGTCCCAGGTCTACTTGAGGCGAATTTGCCGCAGCCAGCTCTTCAGCCTCTTAAGCTTGGCCCGGGCCTGTTATCAGGAAAAAGTTCCCGTACTTTGAGTTTCGAATTCTTTAGGTTGGTGCTACTGGTCTCATGGTGCGGTGGCAGCACCTGCCGCAGGACACTTGCCACGTGGGTGGGTGGGAACTTCCAAGTACTGCATACCACAAGCTTAAAGTGTTCAAAACAGCAGCAGTCTCAAGGACCTCCTGTACGACTTCAGTTGGGAGCATCAGGCACACGTACATGCCGTGTTTTGCATGTAAAGTCATCGCACATCACAGCGTGATGTCCTGCTCTGTCAGGTCATGTTCAGCATGGCGTTTGGACATTGGGCTGTCAGCATGTTGGAGGTGCCTGGCATTTGTCCTGATTGATGCTTGTATTCCATACTCATACTCTGTGCAGGATTTCAGTTGCAGCAGCTTCATGGGTGGAGGACTGGACAGCAAGGCATCTTGAGCAATGCAGGAGTTACACGTCTGTTTTAGTTGCGGTACAACAATGCTTGTGTTAAAGGAAGTTGTTTTTGCGAACTGAAGCTGCTTGCTTCTCCTGCTGCCTAGTTTTGCCTCCGTTGTGTCAGAGTGTCAAGCGACACACACACACACACACACTTGTCCAACTGGTTGTGCGGCCAAGCTCACCCAAGGCGCTCTCTGGGATCCGAGATCCTTCAAGTGTTCTACTGCAGGCACGCAGCTGCCAGCCTAACAGCATTTTTCCCAACACCACCTGAGCTGCCGCACGAAGACGAAGACGCCCCGAAGGTAGAGGCTGCTAACCAGACTTGTGCTGTATCTCCGGAAAGTACTAGGGCGGATCTTTTCATGCAACAACGCTCTTGTACTGGTAGAGCTCTGCAAGACTCTCATTAATCCAGCTACCAAAATTTCAGCATGCACAATGAGAAGGTCTGATTGTAAGTTGCTTGCTGAAAGTCGAAGGAGTCATTTGGCCCTTGTTCTCTTGGAACCTATCAGCGTGGACGCCAAAATGTCCTGGACTACATGCTGGGCTAGCAACACCACGATTTGAAATGCTTTCAAGAAGAAACAGGGTCCGGCCCCTGCAACATAAAACAAAAGCCGAGTTTCTCTGCATGCAACATTCCAAGCGAACTTGTCCGCGCCATTGCAGCACAGGGCTTTCTTCTCCACCATATTGCTGCTGCCGCAAGCTATGCCACTGTGCTTCGTACACACAGTCCGGGAAGCTGAGCATGCGGAGCTTGCTGTGCTTGCTGGGACAAAGGGTGGCCTTTTGAAGTTGTGCCAAGGGCTCAGTGGCTTGGGTGCCCTCGGCCTCCTCTTCGAGCTGCCGGTGCAAAGCAAAAGCAGAGATGCAGAGATGCTCACCGTGCGCCAAGCGCCTTTGCCAGTCTCGACTGTCAGGTGCCGCTCTTGAATCATCGCGAGATGTCACGAGTTCTTGGGCGGCAGAATACTTGGTCAAGGCATGGAGTTCTGAAATGGCAAGCATCCTCGTCTTGCTTCCTGTCAAATGCTGTGCAGCTGCAGATGGATGTCTGATCGCATATCGGTTGGCGAGCACTGGTGTGCAGCTGAGATCATCAGACAGTCTCCAAATGGTATTGGAATCTGCTGGAGTTGCCAGGCGATTCACCTACATCCTCTTCCTCCTTGGCCGAGGGGGTCCCATTGCGTTGTATGTGTGGCACTTACGTGGATTACAGGCTGCGCAGCATGACAACCTCAGGCCACACAATGAGGAGCTTCCTGCGCTTAGGGCAAGCTTCACTGAAAACAACAGGCCATCATGGATCAAGGGCGAACAATCCCTGATTAACTCTGGAGATTCCAGTGGAATTGCCTGAGCCGCTCAGGTTTATTCTCTGCTCTGGCAGCTGGCCTTGAATTCCAGAGCTGTGTTGTGAGAAGTCGAAATCTTAGCCTTCCAGCCTGAGGTTCCAGGATGAATTGGCTGGCCTAGCGCTGGTAGACAAGTGACCGGCCTGGCCAGAGTTTGCAGCAGTCTCGCGGTCTTGGGGTGGTAGTGCTGCAAGGTTGCTGTATCACAGCGTCTCCATCTTTTTCAGTGTCTGGCTCCGCCCCGAGCTTGTGGAAGCACCACCGTCCGCAGCTCTGGTACATGTCACGCAGCATTGTCCAATGATTGCAGGAACTATGCATTCCTCTCTGTGCTTGACGCATGGTCCCATGCTGATGCAGCAGCGGGCCTCAGACTTTCTGTGCACTTCTTTGTTTCCGGCAGCTCTTTTTCCTTGTGCAGCTCTTTCGTTTCATGAACCTCTGCAGCAGCATGCGTCTGCTTGAAACCGTGGACTTCACATGAGTTGTCTCGGTCAAAGCAAACGTTTGGTGTAGCCAGGCTGCAGCCGCACTTCCCGAGCTGCCTGAGGAGGAGAGGGGCTTTCAAAACATTGCGTCGCAGACGAAGAGCCGCTTAAAGAAGTAAGTGCTACATGTGCTACATGTAATGGCGTCTCATCGTCACGTCTTTGCAGGACCTGGAGCTATCTGACCTCGGCGCAGAGATGCCTGAGGAGCCAGAGGCGGCAGACATGTCTCTCTTTGTGTCTCTCCCTCTCCTTTCCTCTCTCACCTCTTGTGGAAGTGACCGTGGACCGTAGAGGTTGCGTCCGGCCGCACTTTGTGCTGCTTCTTCATGATGGCATGGGGTACCACTCCGGGCTTCGGATGGAAGAGTTGGGTCAAGAGCATTTATTCTCGAGACCTGCCTAGGATGTGACTGGCCCGGATAAATTTGCAAGGTTAAAGCAAATAAACGTGGCCTGTTCAGGTTCTGTTGCTTCAGCTTTCTGGCTCGGAGGTAGATCCACAAGAGTATTAGGGGTACGGTGTCACTGTTCTCGCAATTTCTTGAATGAGTGAAGGTCCAGGACATTATGTTTGCTGACTTGTTGATGAGTGCGCCGCGGCGCCTAAGTTTCGACAGATGCAGTGAGTCGAGCGGCTCAATAATGCCAATCACAGTATGCGAAGCCTTCATGTTACAGTCTTTGGCGAAGCCTTACCATGACTTGCTGGTTCGTAGTAGGGAATATGCGCATATGGCCCATATATAATCACTACATAATCTCTTCCCATTTTCCCTCCTAACCCCAGTAAGTTACTATGATTCTATGCAGGCTGCTCCACTCTATGAGGTTGATGAGGAGGCCTGGTTGTACAGTCCTGGCTGGTGTACGAATTTCGGAGTTGCTGCCTTTGGTAGTGCAAAGTACTCGCAGCAAGATCAAGTTTTGTTTTTGCGGCTGTTCCATCCACAACTTACGGCCCCTCTGGGCCTTGTCTTGTTCCGTTTGATTGACCAGCTCTTACCGATTGCCCTCAGGACCCTTTCAAGCCTTGACCATCCAACAGACTAAGTAGCGCAAAGCCCAAAGCTGGGACCACACGCCTGCCTTTTGCCGTGTTTGTTTTTGTTGCTGGCTCCCTTTGCAGGTGTCTGTTGGTTGTCTTACATGCTTGTGGGGCACCGCTCTTTCCACTTGAGTCTGTTGCATTCTGATCATCCTTTGCCTTCACACTTTCTTCCATTCTTTGCTATCTTATCTGTCGGCCTTTTTCACTTGGCGTCCTTCCTTCTCCTGTATGAAGGCTCTTCTTTGCACGAGTAATGCAATTCCCATCCGTTTTCTGGGCTGCCTCGCATGTAATGAAGCCATTGTTTGGCCTCGAGTCATGCAGACCCGATTGTCAGTCTCCACGCTGCACAAACAAGCTGCATAGCTGCTTGGTTAGATTTCGCTGGGCTATTTAGCACAAGTATTTGATCGTTTCTGACATGACCGATTCCGCTTTCAACTACTCCGGATACGGATGCTCAGCAGTGTCCCGCCAAGGACTTATAGAACCTGCCTGTCAGGGGTAGCTAGGTGGCAGCTGGGCAAGGAAAGGCAAACGTTTGTTTTCGAGATCTTCAGAAAATTCCGAGGCGCTTATCAAGGAAGAGTTTTCTTCTCCTGGTTGCAAAGTGGCCATACCCAGAGCAAGGTTGCGAAGCCGGCTTTGACTGTCATCTGGGGTCTTGCACGCTCTGACATGTAGTCTGGAATCAGCTCATCTTCCTCCTGATAGAAGATGCTTCTGAACACCTTGAGCCTTACCCATCGCACATGTAGCCCCGCTACTTAGTCAGACTGTTGACAGTCCGAAGTCTTGTGGGCACACCGGCCGATATGTTGCCTTGCTTGCTTCTGAAAGGCGCTTACAAGAGCTGTTGCTGCTTCTTTCTCACGTCTTTCAGCCGTTGTCGTGGTGACATGGTCAGCAAGGGGAAGCATGGCTACAGACCGATGAGATGTCTTTTATGCTTGTACTCACGGCCAGGTGCTGGCATCGAAAGCGGACAGTGGCCTCCTCTGGTGTTGCCACCCAGTCATCAACTTGACCATCCGCTTTGGATATTTTGGATATCCGTGTGTGTGCTCGTGCAAGGAGGGATCAAGCATCGAAAAAAACTTCTGAGCTCATGCTGTGATGTCATTGTTGACAATGACAACACATGCGGCACTTAATTTGCATAATCTTTTACATCCCAAGCCGGTTTTGGACACGTTTGAAGATAGAGCCCCTTCCTGTCCATGTGCCTCGTTGGAGCGTTTCTTTATTAATCTTCGGTAGCAGAGCAAGGCTTGCAATCGAAGGCGTCGTCTATGACCTCTCGTTGGGACCCCGACCGGAAAGTTGCTGGCAATGTGCAATGCAACGGATGCTTTCTTTGAGGCAGTGGCACGAACACCCAGGAGGCCGGCCTGCCAGTCCTGCCAGTCCTGCGCAGCGTGTGGAGTCGGGTTTGGCAAAGCCAAGGTACGGAAGTGCTGCGTCGGTTTGCCGGCGCACTGCTGAGCCTTCGTTAACGGGTCAGAAAACCAAGCGACCAAGCTTGCCGCATTTGCCGCATGTCTCGCTCAAGGCAAAGATGCAACAGCAGAGTTTCAGAAGGCTCCGTGAGTAAACCTTACTGAAGCTATAGCAGACACCCATTCTGAGCAGGCCTGCCAGTGCAAAACTTCACTTGTCGCAGCCTCTGCGAGCCAGATCCAGCACCTGATGCTCCTTGCAATCCGCAGAATCTCAGGCTTCCGTGTCTCGATACCAGGCCGCGCAGCATCAATAGCATATCTCAAGCATGGCCGCCAGCGGCGGTATACCTGCACAGCCCGGACCCGGCAGTGGATCTATGATCATGATTGCTTGGAAGGGGCTGCACACTCCAACAAGCCTGAAACCTGAATCATAGGCTCTGAGTTCTGGACCTTGAGCCTTCTGAAGGCTAAGCCCTCTCCAGCTGAAGTAGTGCTGAGCCGGCGGCACCACGTTTTAAGGTGGGGGTTCTGAGACTTCCGCCTCATGAGTACCGCCACTGCCCCGGTCTGTGGCCCGTTGCCCCACACATGGTCCGCTGCTCTTTTGATGGTGTTGCGTTTAACCCTTGTATCCCGCAAATCCCAAGGCATCTTTGAACATCCTGTAGAGGAAGGCGAGATGCGAAGGCCTTCCTCGGCATGTCCTGCACGTTCGTGCAAGTCCGTGCATGGTTATGCCTAGCTGTGTGTAGTGGTGGTTCCAGGCTGCTGACGGCCACGCTCTCGGCATCACAGTTCAACTGTTAGGTGAGCCTACACACGGATGTTTGTTTGCATTCGTACCGGTCCAGTTTTGAATCACGTGAGCTGTGATCGGAAAGCCTTGGCAACCTTGCGGGGCATACATTTGGCAGTCCCGTGCCCTAAGTTCGCCCTGCCGAGCCTTATCATTGGCATTGTTGGGCTGAAGGCATCCCTGCACACATGGAGCTGTTGGAGAGGACTGCAACATGCAAGACAACGCAGGTCTTCACAGGGGAGGTTGCTGAGGCCAGGCAGGTGCATAAAAAGTGGGAGCTTCTCTTCTGCCATAGAATCTCTTATCCCTGCAGAAGCTAAGCTCTTGACCTTGCCCAGGCGAGTCAAAGCCTTGGGGTGCTCCCGGGGCTGCTGGTAGCAGTAGGGGTCGGAGACCTAGCAGAGTCTAATGGCATCACAACACTTCCTCGCTGCCCCGATCTAGGCGGGGACTTTTGGTATCCTCACGCCCATGAGGCGGGGGTGTCCCGTTGAACCGTTTGCAGCGGAGATAAATGATGAGGTTTCACACCCACCCCACAATCAAGGTTCCCAATCTTGCATGTTTATGAACATATATAGTATTCTTAAGCAATAATAATATACAGGGTAGAACATGTCATGCATACACAAGCACATGCATGTGTAAGTGAATAAAGGGGGTGCTTGCAGGCGACGCCTTGGCGGTAGCAGCGTGGGCAGCTCCAGTGGTTGGTTGCAGCCCTGGAAACTTCCTCCTTGAAGGAAGCCCTTAACTTACTGGTGGTCAGTAGTGAATAAGGGAATATATTCCCTATGCAGTCCCTAAATAACATATAGTCCATTATTCCCTGCTAACCCCCACTAACTTGCGGGAGTTTAGGAGACCATAATATGGGACATCTAGGACTCCTGAACTGCTATGAGCCTGGAGGAGCCACTGTCACGCTATTCCTTGATAGCAGCTCTTACTTACAACATCCTTCAAGGGCAGTACCTACCCAGCTTGGACCCTCCCCGATTCCATGATTTGGTAACCGCATGACGATTACAATTCCTGGAGTTTACTTGCTACTTTAACACCTCTACAAAAAACCGCTTGCCTGTAGCCCTCATGATATTCCCCAGACTCCTTCCGTGCGGAACAACGTCTTGCCAAGGATACAAAGCAAGCTGCTGCATTGGTCCCTTTTTGAGGGTTTGATAAAGAGGAACAGCTCCGTGGCCACGAATTTTGAAGAGACCCTGTTGCATCCTGTTGCTGGCCGCTTTCTCTGAGAACTTGGGTTCTCTTCCCTTTGTGTTTCGCAATCTCCCGAAGAAGACCGTGCAACTGCAACAGCAGCCACTTTCCCAGCTTGTAAGTGCTCGTGTTGACGTGTGTCTTCCTCCCATAGTGCCTCCCAAAGTTTCGCAGTCACAGAGAGAGTCGTGTAAGGACTATAGAGCTGCCATGTTGCATGGATTCTGCGCTCGATCAACGAGAGAGAGACTCTAACTAATACTTTGTTGTGGCAGCTCGGTGTCTTTCCAGCAAAAATGAATGTCACTTGGTGACCTGAGTATTCAACATAAGCAGTCAAAGTTGTCACCCAATACCTTACAACCTCGTCCAGCTTTTCTCCCTTAATTTCAGGAGCTATGAAAGTTTTCTGGCAGAATCGCAGCGAAGTTGTGCTCCAGACAACTTTAGTTCAGGTCACTGGACAACACACAGTGGCCATTGTTATCTTTAGTCAAGTGCACTTTTCAAGCAGAGAGCAACGTTTCAACAAGCAGCGCAAACTTCACATCCGACAGCGTTACGAGCGGCTTTGACTTTTTCCACAAGCACGGACGTGCTGTTTGCAAAGTGCTTTTGAAAAGCCTCAGAGTGATTTCTAAGGCACGCCCACATTATCGTGCGGGTGCTTGGTTGTTGCTGATGATGCAGTTCAGAACCTTCGCACCTGCCATGTTGCTGCTAAGGCACTTGGCATTACTGCCCTGTGCGGAATCCTTCCCATCGCCGCCTCCTCAAGCTGGACGTCGCTTGGAGGCGCCGCATCTCAAGGCACAGACACTCAGAGAATTTTGAATCCCCAAAGCAGCTCCGTGAAGATTTCCGGCGCAAATACCAGGTCTTGAGCTGTTGTCCTTGGGCTTGTTTGCTGCGGAGACCATGCTGGCACCTGTGCCTTCCTGAGAATGGGCGGCGAGCACCTTCTAACTCTACAGTTGTGTGCATCCCCCCTCTTTCAGCGTAATGTCGAGGCCATGCCGCTTCCTACGGTCCCTGCACTTCTGTGTCTCTTCAGTTGGTATGATCGAGGCAGGTACCACCAAAGAACCAAGGAGTCGACTCTTTTCCTGCGAGCTTGACCTGGCAGGCTTGCGACCGGCTGACTTCTTTCATGAAGGCGGTCTGAGTGCATTGGTACACAGAATCCGATAGTGTGCAAGACATGTAGAGCAAGGCAAGGATGGTTGCACAGAGATTGGCCTGGCCTGTCCTGATACCCCCCTGGCATTTCGATGGTGCCCCTGCTGCCAGAACGAAGTATCCGTTTTCATTGTTTGCTTATTGGACTGGCAGTCGGCTGGGTTGTTTGGTAAGGTGTGCCCGGGTTGCTAGATATCCAGCCACGCATGTGCGCACCTATCTCACGTTATAGGAAACAGGCTTCATCGTGGATCCTGCTGGTACATGGTACCTATCGATTCTTGATATTTTATCTGAAGAATACTAGAGCAATCCTTGGCCTCACAGGCATCTACAATCCTTGGCGCTGGTGCATGGCCTGTGTGGCCTTGATCGTGCTCCTAACGTCCGCCTTCTGAGCATTATTGATTTCAAGCTTGCAGACCTTGCGTAGCTCTGAGACTGACACATGGATCAAGCAGCTCCCATTATCATAGTGGTCTCCATTTTCTTATCCATTATCCCTACATGAGTGGATACAGATCCTTGAGAGCCACAGAGAACTTCACTCTTCGATTTCCTCGGTCCTGCAGTTCTGAGGCGCCTTGCCGATGGCCGTGCCGCCTGTGCGAGAAGGGCGCTGGCTCTCACCAGTCTCTACGCTTCTGCCGGGGTGGGAGTGGCATGTGATTGTGTTCTTGTGTCCACAAATTTGCATAAGGATCCTCAGTCGTAAGCACGAGGTGGAATTTGCGTTGGCATGTGGCCCGCATGCAGTCCAGCTTTAAGAAAGCCATGCTCGCATTTATGTGAGAAAGAGATATGCTTGTGATCTCGTTGGGCTTGAAACAGGTTTGTCTCTACGTGGCACTACAGCCAGATGCAAGCGAGCTCCGTCAAATCTTCACAGCACCTTTGTCTTGGCAATAGTCAAATGTTTGTCGGTCCACTAAAATCCGGAAACTGCATTTGTGAGGCGTCTCCTCTGAGAATGGGTGGTGCGGCCCCCAAACGTCAGTCTCTTTTGTTGGCGCAGTTGGATGATGAAAGATCCCCGTTCGTGTAAGTGCCAGTATAACTGTAGTAGTAGTAAACTAGTGCCATAGCAATCAAAATATTTATAAGTGGCCTTTTTTTGGTCTTCACCTATAGAGGTTTGCTGGTTTTTGCCAGCTTTGCCTCGATGTTGGCCCAGTTGGCTTTGCTGGACATGGCCCTGGCCCTGGAAATCGAAGCCCACAACAGGGGTTCCAGTAAAATGGATGTAGGGATTGTAGAAGGGGTATAGATTATAGGTTTCAGTGATCTCATGTAAATTAGGGACCTTTGAAATGTGAGTCCTAATAATAAGGATCATATCTTTATTGGTTCATGGAGGAGTCTTGGCCTCCTTTGAGAGGTGTTGCAGGAAGCTTGGTTGTCCCGTACATAGCCGCTACAAATGCCAGCTTTTCAGTTCATTTTCCCTTGTCTCCTCCATATGGGCGGTTTCCCAAAATTGGGGTACCATTTTGGGGGTCCCTATAAGAAGGCCTATAGTATGATGGGGTCTATACTGGGGTCACCCTTTTTAGGGAAACTACCATATGATTCTCCAGTAGTACTCTAATACCCTTATGTAGCACCTATATAGATATGTACTCAACAAACCCTAAATCTATTGGCTGTTGAGGCCCTGCGCTGCTCATCAAGCTTCGCAACGCGTTGTTCGGGTCTAAGCAGGGCGAATCAGCGATATTTTCAGTACTTAGCCAGACAGACCCTGCAAATCACAACGTAAAACGTATTTTGGTAAATAGGGGAACCAACTGCTATAAGACTTATTACTGGGAGTCCAGAAGTGTTCCCTCGTTTTGGGAACCCCCCCTTGACATTTTATGCAAAGTCCTTTCCTGTAGAAGCTTTTGGTAAGGTGTGGCCTTTACGCTGGCACTTCTCAACTTTGCCCTCTACGGGCTCTCCAGGCCTTGCATATACCGCATTCGGTATAACATACTATGATATATTATAGCACCGTATAGTGTAGTATTGTGCATAATGATATGGTACAGTGTAGTATTATGTACTGTAATATGGTATAATATCGTATAATACAGGATATTATACAATATAGGGGAGGCACAAGATTGATGCTCACAGTTGGCGCTGGCTGCTGGCTGCGGGCGTGGTCCTGCACTTCTTGGAGCTGTCGAGGCACTTGATTCGGGCTCCTCCGTGTGAATGGCCACAGTTCAGATCGGCCATAAAATCCGCAATTTGGAGCAATGCACAAGACACTAACAAGGAGCATGTTTGGCAATGTTCACACAAGGTTGGGTCCATTTGGCAGTTGTTATGTATGGCATCCCGGTTGTCAGGACTGAATAGAAATAGTCTCTGATGTTGAACATACGCATAGCACGTTTCATTTCAAGATGAAAGTTATGCATGGGCATGTACACATACTCTCCGCTGTATCCTGCCCGGAGATGCTTGTGTGCGTTTGTGCTTCTTTGCAAGGCACCACCGCGGGCGATTGGATCAGGCTGTTTCATGTTGCAGGGTCTGCTCTCTCTTTCTTTCCCTTTTCGCATCTCTTCACGGTGGTTTCTCAGGCGGCCACGGCTGGACGATTTGCGGAGCTACCTTGGCACTTCCTCGGAGCACAGGAGCCAGAAAGCGTCATAGTGAAAAACCTCAGCATCCAATCTTTGCCAGGCGCTGTGGGACAGTGGTCGCGTGTCTGTCCTGGGCTACCTGTGGAGGCACATTCCATTCATGCCTAGTTGCAGCAACGTGGCCGCAGCTCCCTGACAGCAGGGCCACTGTGTGCAATCTGCAGAATGCCTGGCACTTACTAAGGCTTTGTTGTTCGTGGCGTTAGTGGATGATGTGATTGACTGCAAGACTTACTATGGCATTCTGAGGTTGTCACATCGATCATCCCTGATGAGCTGCGGGTTTACGCTTGTGAGGCGATCAGAGCCTGATCATTGTGGTGTTTTTCCAATTGATGTCCTGGCCAGGCGCCAGTTCCGTACTATGGCGAGAATGTTCACCACTCAGCAAAGCTTGCCCTGTAAGAATCGATTTCGTTAGCTGGTCATTGCTGCAAGTAAGACATGCGTGCGTGCTGTCGACCGATGTTTTCGTTCCGGACTCACGTCAGTGTTTCCCATTCGCAATTGGATGAGGGCCAAACTGCTGATTACATGCCGCGTTTGCAATTGAACTATCCAAACTGACAGAAGAGCTAGATTCTAGCTAGATGGGCATCCTTCTTCAGACGAGGAGGCCGACCTGTGTCTATATCATAAGAGGGATTCCTGGATGTTGTTTTGGGCCAAGATAGGCTCAGCAATGAATTCATATTCTGTTGCTTGGATAGTAGGGCCCATCTCACTAATCGTTTCACTACTTCAAAGCACGGCAGCTTGCCATCAAGATCAGACCATCAGGGGGGTTCCTGGACCATCGTTGTATCATCTGCTTGGATGAGCCAACCCTCTGGCATCCTGTAGGACTTGGTCAGATGCATGTAGTTCTCTGAGGTTGCCATGGGCCTAGCAGCCCAGTATGTTCCGCCCAAGGCCGCTTTGTGTAATGCTTGGCTTGGATGCTCCATCACAGCCACTCGCAAGCTACCAAGAGTCCATCTCACATGATAGCGCTGGGACTGTCCAAGCCCAGATGTGGTCCAGTGTTCTCTGTGAATGTATGAATTGCTGCACCTCAAGCGGAGGCACGGGGCAAAGACCGCCGCAGGCCAAACTTCTTCGTATGCAACGTGGGCAGGGTACCTACGTCTGGCGTCTGGCCATGATCCGGGTCCTGGGTGAATTGCGCACTTCGCTCTTCCCATATGAAACAAGGTCAGATCGTGGAGTCGGCCCTCCCAGACCTGCAGTCAGATCCTCGAAAGCTTGATTCTAATTCCTGGCAGGGTTGCTGTTGGTGTAGAAGGACTCATTTACTGATATGTGTTCTGAAGGCATACCATGAACACGCTCGTCGACGCGCGTACCTTAGCTCTTGGTAGAATGTGCTTGAGCATGGCCTTAGTCGACTGACTTCTTGGGTATTCCCACATATGCTGGAGTTTTTGGAGCAGCTTTATGGAGTCCTTGCCGAAATATATGAGGAGTTGGCAAAGCCATCGTCCTCTTTTGGGTCCCTCATACTAAATTCTGAATCCGTTTTGGGGGCTCTAAACATGGGGGGCCGTGTTATATCATAATACGGCCCCCTATGTTTAGGGCACCCAAAAAGGATCCATGATTTTGACAGCCTGCCCTACTATGCATAGGCGTTAGCGTCGTACCTAGGTCATGCCTGAGCCACCCTGGCTATGGATCTGAGGTTTGGGGCGAGTTCCACGATCCTACCCTTCCGGGCCTCTGCGCAAATGCTGCTTGGCAGCCTTCAATGGCTATCAGTAGCAATCATAGTGCTAATCGTAACAGTAATAACAGTAATAACAGTAATAACAGTAATAACAGTACTAATAGTAATAATAGTAACATAGCAGTAATAGAAAAAACAGCATAGCAATAATAAGAGTAACAACAGTAACAATAGTAAACATAGTATCACTAGTAGTGATAGTAATAATAGCAATAAGAGCAATATTAGCGGCAGTGTTTGGGTGATTCTACTGAAGAAAAGTTGAGGTCGTCATGGTGTTCCCCACCTCCGGTCAAGGATGGGCTAAGGCAAGGCGGTGAGCTTCCTTTGCCTTTTGGGGAGACTGGGGGGTTTCCCAAAATTAGGGGTACCATTTGGGGATCCCCATCATAAGGACTATAGTATTTTGGGGTCTATATTGGGCTTCCCCTGTTTTGGGAAACTACCATTGTTATTGCATCTAGATGCAAATTCAAAAGGCTGAGTAAACATAAGTCCTGATCCGTCATTCTAAAATCGGGTCTCCCAGAGCTATCCGGCGTTCAGCAGGAGATCAACCTGTCTGTCTGGGAGTCTGGCAAGGCTCCAACTTTTATCCGATTGCCTCAGTCTGCATGAAACCAGCCTCTTTCATTGCTTTAGGATGCTTTTGACTGGTACGTGAAGAGCAAGGTCAGTGCCTGAGAAGTTTCCGTGCGGATGCAGTCTGCGCTTGCAAGCCTGCCTTGTCAGGGGCACAAGAAGGCCTTGACTCAACCTCAGATTTTGGTATGGGCAATAGGCTAAGGTTGGCGTGAGTATATCTGGGCGGCAGTTCGATTTGCACTTCATGGAGTTTTCCTTTCATCCCTGTACCAATCCCTGTAGGTCTACAAGATCCCTTACGCCCAGACCGCCCAGGATGGAGCATACATCTGGCATCTTGCGCACGTTTGGTAACCTCCTCGCTTCGCTGGAGCCTGCAGAACCCATCAAGTACCAGGACACTGCGCTTCAAAGGGTAAAAGCGCACAGAAGTTCTGCGTCATATTGTAAGAGTATTTTCTATGTGCTATTGCCTTCTGAAGGGGAGTGAAGTTCACTCCTCGACTGTCGGCCTCTCCGCAGTAAGACGTCACCAATCTTCTGCAATGATTTGGTCCATGAAGCTGGTGAGGCACCCTAGACTTGTGGCCAAGATCTTGCTGGCTTTTATTCGGCAAATTCCAGAATGTGAAACGCCTCAGGCAGATCCAGAATGCATTCGCCACCTGCTAGCAACGGGGTGTGCCCGCAGGGCATACTCGGCAAGAGTCGGCGAGTGTACACGACACCCTTCTGACAAGGCGAAGCCTGATCTTCGCATAGCTGATGAAGCCTCTATGGCCAGGTTCGGCCACCTTGATACCAGAGCTATGGAGGTGTCCTCCACAGAAAGCACGGGGCTGGCTAGATGGCTGTAACGGTCTGCCTCGGCGGGATACAAATGTGGGATTGTCTGCAAGCGTTGCGTGCGCAGCTTGCATTGCGCTGTGAGCTTATCTAACACGAAGCTCTCTTATAGTCACAAGTGAGTAGAAAGCTTGAAGTTCGTACTTGTTTTACATCCGGGTTGGCGCCATGTCCGGCCCAGGTCGAGTAGACATTATGATGTTGATCTTGTTCGGTGGCAGGCCCTCCCACCTCCCCCCTCCCACCTCCCACCAGAGACCCGCTGGGATCCCGCAGGAAGCTTCGGGGTATGTTTTGGATATCAGGCGGCTTCAATTTCAAGAACGAAGTCTGGGCATTCTGATTCAATGCGATCAAGATGGGTTCAAATCTGGGACATGCATACTTTGACCCTTTCTGGGCTCAGAACAATCACAATACATGCAATTCGGATTCCTTCCAGATGGTCTCCTTGGATCCCTCGTAGGTCAGGTGCACTTGGAGGTGTTTGTTGAGCTTGCAAACATGTCGATTTGCGTGTCGTCGCTGGTTTCTGGCGCTTGTGTTCTTGATCGTTCGTAGCCTCTTGAGAGCCTCGAACCCCATGGGCTGAAATGGTCTCTGTAAAGAGAGACCTTTTGAGCCGAATGGCCCATGCACCTGCTGCCCCCAAGCATTGAAATTGAAGTGTAGTGAAGTGCTGATCGACATGATTTCTGGAAGCTCATGATGGCGAGCGATGCACCTTTTGCTGTGTTCGACCAGCTGTGATCCTTGTACCGAATGATTTAGATGGCACAATGAAGGGGCCCTGACAGCTGTTCTGCCCAGATCTTTCAATCGCCTCGCTTTGATTCAAGTCATAATCAGGACAGATGTCGGCGGTGCGGACGAACTGTGGAGGCAGGTCACCATTCGCGCCAAAAACGTGTTCATGAAAGGGTAGGGTTTTCTCGGTTAGAGAGGCGGCTCCTGGCCAGCCGGCGCAGCCTGCCTGCCCAGTATGCGGTGCCGGCACTTTCCGCACCTTGGCTTGTTGAATGGTGAGAGCCCAACAAGGTAATTCGACTGACTTATGATATTTGATGTTTCCCAGGCTGGAGCGCCAGGAAAATTGGAGAAATGTAAAGAAACTCCATGAAACTAGTCCAAGCCAGTGGTCGGGCCGGGTCAGAAGATTCTTGGGGAGGTGGCCAGGCAATCCGGCTTGACATCCTGCCGTGGTGTAGTCTCGTCTTGGACAGTCAGCCAAGGCTACAACCTCTTCTGAGTTGCAAGCCATGCTGACCATCAAGAAGTTGGCCACGATGCAGAGACAGATTCGCGGCTGTCCCCGAGGTGCTAACAGGCACTGGGACTAGTAGAGCATGGAGAGGCCGTCGAGGGAGCAAGGAGACCAGCTGCTTTGGCATTGGTTTGTAGATTTTGTGGGATACTCTGAAATCTTGCTGCACCACTCTTTGGCTATCTTTGGCTCTCAGCCCTTGCTTGGCTTTGTGTTGCGGTTCAAGGTCCTACCTTGGCTTGGATCTAATCTTAGTAGCCATCTTAGTCGCTTGCATGCTGCCATGCTTCCTTGCCGCGTCGAGCCCCCAGCTCCAGTGCCGACTCCACGTCGAGCACTGCTCTTGCTGCCCAGGAGGCCCTGCGAAGATATGGGAAGTTTCGGCCAAGATTACTGAGCCAGCACATTGCTGCTCTGCCAGGCGCCCTCCGTTTGAGGGTGCCGTCCTCGCTGCTGCTTCTTGACGGAAGCTAAGGGAGAGAGTGTCACGTTGGGATTCAGGGCTCTTAAGGTCATGGCAGCAGCTCCCATTCACCGCTCGGCTCGGCCTCTCAGAGAGACCTTCAAGTCCAAGAGCAGCGTGGCTTGAGTTGATTTGAGTTGTCCAAGCTTCTTTCATTGCCAGCCAGCATTGCTCTGAGGATGCCAGGAGCTTCCTCAAGGGGCAGCATGTCTCATGCTATTTCCAGAGACTGCACCCGAAGCGCAGTGGGAAGAGGCAGCTGCCCAAGTCAGGAACCTTCCCATGCATTGCAACGCGCTTCGAAGGCCTTCAAAGTGAGCACCCTCCACGACATTCTCCAACAAGGGGATCAGCTTCTGGGAGGTGCGGATGAGGCATGGAGATGCGGAATGAGAGTGGTAACACCAGTCCATGCTTACGTGCAGGCCGAAGAGATGGAAGCACTCCGCTTAAGCCAGCATTTAAGGACCAGAAAGATTCAAAAAGAGAGCCCCAGCCTGCCACTTTCTATACACAAGATTGACAGGAGCTGCAAGGACGACCCTACACAGCTTGGGCCTGGGGTCGGCCGCCTGAGCTTCTTGGCAAAGAGGAGGGGCCCTGTATAACCCTAGTTTCTGTTGTATCTTCCACCTCTCTCCGCATTCTTGGTAAAAACTTAGGCCCTTCAACTACCTAAACCCCCCCCCAAAAGGCCTTAGGGTTTAGGGTTTAGGGGTTTAAGGGTTTAGGGCTTAGGGTTTAGGGGTACAAGAAGGGCAGATGTGTGAAGCGAAGAAGCGAAGGTGCCTGGCTGAAGGAAAGGATCTCCCCAGAGTGCCGCTTCCTTGGAGGAGAGAGGCCGGAGCAATACTAAACAAGTGGAGGAAAGTAGGGGATAATGGAAAAGAAAACGGAAGCTATAGGAATTATAGCAATTATGTAGGGGTTATATGGGGTTACATAGGGATAGCATCAGGTTTTCCCCAATTGTTTAGTACTTTATGTAATTTCCTTGTAGCATCTAGACTCGCAGTGTTGTTTATTGAGCTCATTCACGACTGTCCACATTCATCGCCATCGGCAGCGAGGTAAATAATCCTCTCTATCCCCATCTGTATATTTCTCACAACGAAACTAATCGATGCCAGCGCATGTGGATCAGTTCAGACTGGCAGTTGCGCGGGTGCTGCACCTTTGAGTGGCCTGGATCAGCTGCACCCTGCAGCCCATCCGCTTTCCAAGCTTGTTAGGGGGGACGTCTCGCGACGACTGGGTGAAGTGCTGGACAAGATCCTTCTTCCATCACATTCCAAGACCAGTTGTCTTCAGGAGTTATCTACCTCTCACATCTCGAAGCCATGGCAGTTGTGATGCTGTCATCAGTTCAGCAGTAGCACCAGCATCAGCCTCAACACATGAGGGCCAACGGTGCCACCATACTTGGAGCATAGACTTCGGCATCGTCTGTTGTCCGTCACTCTTGATCTGCTGATGGCTCAGCCTCTTGCATGACGATGAACCTTTGCAAGATGACATTCGCCAGCGCCGTCAGCATTCTGGCCAGTTTTTCTAATCATTCGTCGCATCATCATCATCGTCATCATCATCATCATCGACGCTACCATCATCTGCATCACTATTCTCCTCCTCATCATCATCACCACAACCACCGCGGTTGTTGTCATTGACACTGCTAACGCCCAGCGTCACCTCCTCTCCATTCCTCCTCAGAAACCAGCACCATCCTCGTCGTCGTCGCCCTCCTCACCTTGTCGTCTTAATTACTTGCCCAACCAAGTCTATCACGCAGTTCCATGGTTTTGCATCTCACTTGTTGTCTTATGTGTATCATTTTTTTGTTGTCGTTCTCCTTGTCCTCCTCATGAATCCAATTCTTTCTCATCCATCATGTGTGCACATGGCTTGTTCGAGTTCAAAACATGCCCCGCAGGCTGTCGTTGCGAAGCGACATTGCCCTTGTTGGCGCATTGCTCACCTCTAGCATCTTGGTGTATTGGGGGGAGGTCTGGCCCTAACACCCTTAACAAAACCCTATATGATCCTATATAACCCCTATACAACCCCTACATAACCCCTTCGAGTCCAGAGATGTCCAAAGTCGCATCCAAGGATCTTGGTGCCGCCGACTGGCCGCCACCTCGCTGCAGAAGCTGGAGTCCGCCAAGCAGCCGCTGAAAGGCCAAGGGCAACCTGAAAGCCCTTGTTGGGCATGCTTAGGGTTTAGGGTTCAGGGTTGTATTAGGGATGATTTGGGGTTCTATAGGGGGTCAGATAGGGATGTCGGATCCCTGGAAGGGACTGACCTGGTTCTGAAGTGGATGCTCACGGTGCTGAGCGAGGAGCCATGCCAGAAGGCTTGGACATTTGGTAGCTTCCCTAGATAGAAGTACCCCAAGATACACCCTAATATAGTATTATCCTTTTGAAGGGACCCCCAACAAGGTACCCCTATTATTTATGCGAAGCTCCGATTTATTATGTGCACTTCAGTTTGCTAGTTGAGACACACCGTGCTCATACGGCACGCCAGGCACTGCAGGTAGCACGGGACTTCGAATCGTCGCACTGGCCCATGCACGAGGAGGCCAGTCCTCTAGTTGTGTGCTTGCTGAAGGCAGTCCCTGGCAGTCAGTGTTAGGGAGACTATGGGGAGATTATGGGGTGAGTTTGTAAAAGTTTTCTGGGCGCAGCCTCCGCGTGCAGACGTAAAGAGGTACTAGTGGGCAAAAAAGCTCCCAATCCGACACTCCAATGCTAAAACCCTGAAGTGTGCTACCCAAAAAATCCGACCCTTGTTGTGCTAGAATCCACAAAGTTCTGCAGTTCAGCATCTAACCACTTCGGTCTCACAGGGTTCAGGCTTGGTAGACTCCTGATCGAGGCGCTTCCCTCAGAGCTCAGCGATTTCCTGCGTGGTCTCGACGTGCCGGAGCCGCTCTGCGCAGAGGAGCCCAACACAAATTTATTGGGATTTCCGAAGCGCGGCCTGTTTCGAGACACCCCCAGGCGTGTCTGCATCATCAGCCAAAGTTGCCATGGTTGGAGCGCTTGTTGATAGGAGCTGCTCTCAGCCAAAGAGCGACGAAAGCTGGAAGAGGCCATGCAAAGACAGACCACCACCCTCAAACTAACAAGGATCCCAGCAGGGGCCCTGCCAAGACTTTTGAAGGCTATTCTTCTTCAAAATGGGCCTGTGCGGGATTCCATTCTACTTTGCACGTAAGCTTTGTGAGTGGAGTGCAGTACAGCAACCTGGTATTGAGAGCTTTGAATGATGGTCTGCTTCGGAGTGAGTCAAAATGAGCAGTTGCGTCTTGCTCGAGATGAAGTAGCATGGCTGTCACACTGCTGGAGATTTGGTGAGCGGTGTTGCGTCGATGTTTTCCTGTACTAGAGCTGTGCCGGACTAATTACATCACTGCTGGCTTTGCAGGCGCAGCGGGAGGTCGAACTTGCCTCACAGCTGCAATCACATGGAGCAGTCTGGCTTTTCAGTTGTTTTTTAGTGCTATCTGGTCTGCTTCAAACTTTCAGGCTGGCATTCCTCTTATCAAGGCTGTGCAGCACGGAGATGTTGAGGCACCCTGCTCAAGTGTTTCATACGGTGGCATGGTGAAGATGTGTTCCAGGCCGTGCGCAGCCTCCTTGAAGCGGGCGTGAGTCTTCAGCTGCAACTGGCAGGTCTGTTGGGGTGGGGGAAGGCTCTATTGCACGCGTGCAAGGAGTGTGAATGCGAAATTCCGGACGAAGCACCATGAAGTTCGGCTGGAAACTTGGCAAAATGCGGGATGGCTTTCTATTGGGTAAAGTTCAGTGTTTGACATGTCAAGGAACACATGGCTTGCGCGCTGGGCGTCTCCCGCCCGGAGTGCCGGCAAAGTGATGAGGAGCATCCTGCAAAGCTTATTGTTTGGGACTGAGTGCAAATGGGAGACGGCGTAGCATCCGCGCCTTCTGTGTTGTTTCCACATAATGAGGCTCGCGACCTGAATCTACGGCTATTTCCTGAGCGCGCTCCGGATGTGGAAGCGAATGGCATCGAGATCCTGTGAATCTTGGCATGCAAGGATTGAACTCATGCAAACGTGCGGCAGATGTTCTAGGTCCCACTTTTGCTAAGCCCTTCCAAGAGATTTCAGATGTGCCATCTCGGCAAGATGGCGCTGTCAGGCCTTTTGTTGCAACATCGGGGCTCCCTGGAGGCCGTGGCGGGCATTGCATTCTTCAAAGCAAAAGAGCTCATGCGATCTTGGGATGCTTAGGCCTTGGATTCCGATGGTGGGACGCCTGCTTTCTATGCAGCCATGGCAGGCATTGCAGAGGGGCTGCGGTGAGATGAAAACTGTCTTGGAGTGTTTTCAGGAAACGTGCGTTGCTTCAAGTACATGCTGGAAGTCGGTGGTGAAAAAGTCTTCCACCATCAGGACCCTGCAATGCATAGGCCTCAAGTATTCAACTCCTTCATGTCGGCCTTGTGTAGGATTACCTGGATCGATACCCGCTCTACTGGGCAACATCAAACGACCAGCCCGCAGCTGTCCAGTGGCTGTTGCAGCATACTTCCTTACCTGTGGAAGCTTTCTTGCACTCTTCAGCACACAGATGCACACGCACGTTTCGAATCACGATCTGCGGATGTGTGCAAAAGCCGAGGATGCGAGCAGCCGACACGGGCGCACCGCGCTTGCCAAGGCTGACAGCAAGCTCTGCACTGGCGCATCATTTTCATCAGTCCTTGATGAGGCTGCCTGGTCCGACTCCCCTGACATTGCTGCACCCTGGCGGCACAAGACGCAAGTTGCTCCGCGCTCCGCTCAAACCCTGAGACACTGCACGCTGCGCCCTGTACTGCTTTTCAGGCGATGCTGCTGGAGAAGCGGGCCGCATGGCATGGTTTCATTCCTTCAGCATGGCCTGGGATGGTATATTGGGGTTATATAGGGATAATGGAAAAGAACATGGAAGCTACTATATAGTATATTGGGGTTATATAGGGATAATGGAAAAGAACATGGAAACTACTATATAGTATACTGGGGTTATATAGGGATAATGGAAAAGAACATGGAAACTACTATATAGTATATTGGGGTTATATAGGGATAATGGAAAAGAAAATGGAAACTGCGATGTAGTATATTGGGGTTATATGGAAGTCCGCAGCTATGCTTGCACGTTTCAGCTGAAACTGTCGAGGGCGGTGCTGCAAGAAGGGTCTACAATCTCTGGTAAGAATGAAGGCTCGGAAGTATGGACGTTCCAGCAACTTGCCAACATGTGACGTTTCATTCGAAGCTTATGGCCACTTTAGCTATCTTTCACTATAAGCAATTATTAGTACTACTATGGGTGTTGTTGTCAGTATTGCTATTAGTACCACTGTTAGTACTACTAGAAGTATAACTATGAATATTGTTATTGTTTGTTTTGCTAGTAATGTTACTATTCATACCATTTCGTGTGTGATGGCTCCAAGGCCGACCCACGGGTAATCGACGATCACGGGCGCACAGTCGCTTTCCATAAGTCTGATAGGGGTCAGGGATTATGAGAATTAGAGTTTAGGGTGTGGGATCTAGGATTTAGGATGTATTTATTGATTTAGGTGTTGGCATTATCAGGATGTGATTTCAGCATGGGAAGTGAGACCATGCTGGTGATGTTGGGTTCCGGTATCTGCCCCCCAAACAATTTGAAGTGAGCCCTGAAGAATTTGGGGGGTGATGAGTCTGGTGGTACTATTACTAGTGCTAGTACTGAAATGTAAAGTGTGTAGTTCTCGAGTTGAGAGATGCAAGCCTTAAAGCTTTAAAGCAAACGCCTTCTAGAAGTATGTCCCATGCCACCAAAATTTCTTGACCCTGAGCCATCCACTAATTTAGCGCAGTGCACTCAGTCTCACAGAAATTGGTGAAGGCTAGGCAAGTTGAGTAATTGGTAGGTGCTGAAGCTCTGCGATTCCGAGCTGTTGAGTTTGGGGTTGTGGATTTGGAGCCTTAGCAATTAGTTCGTAACTGGTACGACCTCAATCTGAGCTATTCAGAACTCCAAAATGCTCCCCTAGACTTGACATGAAACCAGATCCTCAAAACAATTGCGGGTCGTGTTCAAGCTTGAAATTGATTCTGGCACCCATGCAAAGTGAGCCCAACATTAGGTGGTTCACATGGCATCCTGGGGGGCTTGGGGCGGCCGTCGCGGTGGGAAATTTGTGAACGGTCACTTGGCCCCCCAACAATTTCCCTAAACCCCATTATAGTAGTTTCCATTTTCTTTTCCATGAAGCCTGCATAACCCCAACAAACTATGTGGTAGTTTCCATTTTTCTTTTCTATTAACCTTATGTAACCCCAATACAGTATGATAGTTTCCATTTTCTTTTCCATTATCCCTATATAACCCCAATATACTATGTAGTAGGTTTCATTTTCTCTTCTATGAACCCTATATAACACCAATATACTGGGTAGTGGTTTCCATATTAGTTTCCATAACCTCAATGTACAGTATAATAGTTTCCATTTTCTTTTCCATTATCCCTATTTAATCCCAATATACTGCGTGGTAGTTTCCATTTTTCCATTAACCCTATGTTACCCTATTATAATATATGGTAGTTTCCATTTTCTTTTCCATTGCCCCTAGATAACCCCAATATACAGTATAATAGTTTCCATTTCCTTTTCCATTATCCCTATTTAACCCCAATATACTATGTAGTAGTTTCCATTTTCTTGTCCATTAACCCTATCTCCAACATATTGTATAGTAGTTTCCATGTTCTTTTCCATTAACCTTATACAACCCCAATATAGTATATAGTAGTTTCCAGTTTCTTTTCCCTTATCCCTAATCCCCAAAAACAGTCAGGCCGCGCGGCTGGTGCTAGTCCCGAATGCCTGCGGTTGCTCCTCGCAACAGAAGAGGTAGACCGTCTTCATGCGTTTCATAGGTTTGTTCTTTGGATCATCATCGGAGTGCAGAAAGAGCGCTGTGAAACCAGTTTGCTTCTCCCCAAGCATGCGTTCAAACTCGAAGCGGTGCAGCATCAACATGCTTTGTCACCAAACCTGTAGCAACGCTAGGTTAGCAGCCCTAGAAGGTTGCAACTCACGCGGTATCTTAAAAGAAGCTGGCCAGGGCCGCCTTTGCATGCACGTTGCTGACCGTGATGGGGGAACCCCAATAGCTATTGCATCGGCTACTGGAGCGTTGGATGCGCTGGAGGAGCTGCATGTTGGTGGCTAGCATTGCAAGCCTGTGATCTACCTGCAAAGCATGCTTCACATGTTTTCGTTTCAATGGTCCATTGGTGTTTCCCCGAAACCCGAAGCGCAGTTGGATTGAGGGCCTGCTCCATGACGTGATGTAACTTGCAGCCTGGACGCAACGGACACTGACACGAGAGCCATTGTGACGCCCGAAGGAGCTTCTGCGCTGTCCCGAAGGGCTCAGGCGATGGTTGTGTGCTTCGCAGGGAACATACTTTGGAAGCCTGCCGTGATATGCAATAAGAGATGTGACTGCCATGTCAATGTATATTCATTAATCGCAGCGCCAGGCAAGTTCGTGACCCTCCTGAGGAGCTGCAGGCTTCCTTGGGAACAGGGATGATAGGATATTGCGATGTTGGTGGCGTGATGGTGCTTGATGTTTCAGAGTAACATGCAGTTCGGTTGAGGACTTTCTGCCCCTGGCCGCGGCGGCTTTCCGCGGCCACGTCAGCTGCGGCTTGTGCTGAACAGAATGAGAGACATGACTCATATCACATGCTTCTATGACAGCTTCAGGCTTGCAAATGCTTTTGGAAGCTCGAGCAATTCCTGAGCTTCGTGGAAAAAGCACTGGAAGGTGGCCTTGGGCAAGCAATACTTCTGAAGCTGACTGAAGCCAACCCATGAGGTTTGTTTTTTTGCTGGTGCCCTGGCAGGTCTGCCTTAGACTTCGCAGTCATTGGGCAGGTGGCCATTCGCAGGTGCCAAAGTCTTGGGACATCTGCATCCTTGTCCCTGCAGGAGTTGCCCACAGCGGAGCTTCTAGCCGCTGTGCGGCATGACCGGATGCCTGAGCTGAGACAGGACGTAGCTGCGAACTTCTTGCTAGGTATAAGCTCCTTTCCTCAGCTGGGGGTTTGTCAGAAGAATCCCGGCAGTCTGTCCCCATACAACCCTAAACCCTAAAGCTCCAAAGAGCCCCCCGAGCCAAGGCAGACAAACTGGAGCCAGGTCCTGGCACCACTGGAATCTTTGCTATAGCTCTGACTTGGGCAATGCACACTGGTGTTCCAGGCAGGTTTCTGTCAGAGGAGGTTTAGGAGATTCAGGCTTGACATTGGCTTAGGGAGGGAATAAGGCGACATGGCAGAGCCATCCATTTAGAAGAAGCTGGAGGGAAGAGAACGCATTGGTTTGGAAGCAGGGTTTGTCTGTTTTTGAATGCAGGGCAGGGGCTGGCAAACAGATCAAACTGAAGGCTCTCCAGAGGAATCCACAAATGTTACAGCTTGCGCGTAGGCAAACTCAGCAGGATGGACTCTAACGAACCGCGCTTAAACCTTAAAGCCAAAACCCCTGTGGAAGCAGAGAAGCTATGGGGCTATGGGACCCCTTGCGCCTAGTGACCTAGTGCAGACGTAAAAGTCCGAGGGGTTTAAACAAAACCTTCAAGGCTGAACCCTAACACGTGACCCTACCACCAAAACCTGAGCAGGGTTTCCTTCAAGAGATGGAAAGGACCAGTGCATTGGTGCAGGCATAGAAGCCTTCTGGTTAAGAAAAAAAGAAAACCCTAAACTCTAGACCAAAACCCCTAAACTCTAAACCCTAAGCAGCTAAGCATACTGCTTGCATACTGCTTTTTACGTTTTGCGTTTTCCGGGGCCTTGAAATTGGCTTCCTAGGGCTGTGCTAATCAAGCATCTCCGAAGAGCAGGATCTGAGGAGAGAAAGTCCCATAAAAAACTCCTAAGCCCTAAACCCTAAACAGCTTGGAAAGCACGGGACTTGCAGAGCAAAGTGGACCAGGCATGGTTCGACTCCTAGTGGCGCGCTGTCCCAATGCTTTAGAAAGTCAGGACCTATAGGGAGGGATATGGGTTAGGAGGACCCCTCACACCCCGTAATAGTGGGCACAATAAGAAAAACAGAGGACCTGATTACCGGGTGGGGGATCCACCTGAGATATGTTTTTGGTTCCTTTAGGGGGTCCCCATAGTAAGGATTGTAGTATTTTGGGGTCTATTTTGGGGTCCCTCTAGTTAGGGAAACTACCATATAGGGATTATCAGGAGAGCCATATTATTAGGGATTATCAGGAGAGAAATATAGGGATTAGCAGCCTTTCAGGTGCCTTTGAGATGTTTTGAGTCTGTTCTGACAGTGCTGGCAGTTGGGACCCGCAGGATTTCGTGTACTCTGTCCTCGCGCATGGTCCAAAGCAGCGTGCCGAGGCGAAGGGTGTGCTCAAGACGGATGATTTGAGGGAAGCCTGAATAAAAGCCATAACAATTTTGTAACAATGAGAACATTATGAACAATAATAGAAATAGCATCTTACTAGTAAGAATATGATGATATGAATAGTAACAGTACTGACATTTCATAGTGATTCTACTATGAAGAGTAGTAATGACAGTCGAATAATGTGAACAGTAAGTATGTTCTCATATGAATACTACTAATAATAGCCATAAGCATATGAGTAGTAGGAGTAATTATCATGAAGCTCTTGGAGGTTACCTGGCCTCCCTTCCCCGCCAAAGCTGACAGAAGCCCTCCGAAGCCTCATTCGCCGAGGCGGTTTCATCATATTGTTATTGTCATTATTGCTGCGGTTCACATTATTCCTACTGTTCATACTGTTGCTACTCAGATTGTGCTATTACTGCAAATTCATCTTGCTACTATTTCTTGGTTTTAATCTGTTTCCATCCTGTTAGGCAGGAGGCGCTGCGTCGAGGAGTGGGTTGAGGGATGAGGCCGAGGTGTTGACAAGACAGGCATGTGTCTAAGCTGTTTTGCCGCGGGTGCTGTTGACGTGCAAGCAGCAAGCTATCAGTAGCAGAAGTTTTTGCTGAATGGTGGTGCTGCATTCCTCTCATGCAGTCATACTGGCGTGTATCCCTCCTCTGAAGGAGGCGCTGCGCAACTCAGCACGGTTTCAATCCAATGCTGTGGCTTGGCACTTTGCTTTGCGACTTAAAGAACTGGGCTGCGGAGGTGGTAGTAATGCTCTGTTTACCCTGTGCAAACATTGGGCATTGATATGAGGATGTGTGTATCGTGGCGAAGACAGGACGTTACAAAGCCCAAGCGGGGATGACCCCTGTTCCAGGGCATTCGGAAAGGTCAGGTCAACCGAGAGGCTTCGGGTGCATAGAGGCAGGTACTTCATCAATCATAGGCTCGAAGGAAGGCCATCCTGAAAACTCATCCCAAAGGACTTCTTGTTCGTACACCAGATATTCCATTTGTTTGCCCTGAGGCCAAGCACTTCTTGACACAAGAGCCAATGTGGCCGAGGCAACCCTGACCTCAGCCTTGAGGCCTGCGCTCCCAGTGCTTTCGGTGCTCCACTCGGCTCTCTCCGCTTAGTCAAGCCACTGCTCAGGCGGGGACTGGGCTTGGCGGCTGCCGAGCGCCCCCTGATGGAAGCACTGGTGAATCGCTACCTGTGCTCTGGCTTCACGCAGCTTTAGGTAGACTCACTGCTTTACAGTAATGGCATCCAGGCAGACGCCATCTGCCCAGCTCTCCTGGCCACTGGTTGCTGCGTCCGCTGCCAACTGCCCGGCTGCAGTCACCTGGCCCAAGGGGCGCGAAGAGCCAAAGTATTTGCAGCTGTTGCCGCAGGGCGCTGATGATACAGGTAAGATTGGGTCACTGTGCTATGTGCCAGGCCGCTAGGTTTGAAGAATGATTTCAAGCAGCCTCGTGTACAGGCCTCCTTACCGGCTGGAGCTTCAGGGCAATTCCATCCCAGCTTGTGGTCTGAGGTGTCCCTCCTCCTTGCTTCCCGAGCAGAGCCCGGTAGCGCAGGTCCGGGATTCTTTGGTCATTTGGCCATGTGATGTGTTTAGTCTTCTCCCTGAGATGGCCTCGCCTTCACTGCAGCTGCCAGCTCGGAGGAATGCCTTCCGATGCTCCTGGAGGCCCGCCTCATTGTCATCTCTTCAACATGTTGCACCTGACATGCTGTGTTAGGCCTACGACAGCACCCCGCAATGCCCCAAGACGTTGGACTCTTGATGGAGTTGATTTCTGTTGATGCATCAGTGTTGTGCGCCCCGGGTAGAAGTGGGCTGCATATCAGCTGGTGGGATGGGCTGCGCGATTCTATTGGGGTGATTGAGCGACTTTTCATGAGAAAGCAGCTCTTTTCATCCTGAGCAATAGTAATCATAATGGTACTATAGTTATAACAATAGTACTGAGCAATAGTAGTAATCTTGTCCTAGGATGGAGCTGTGGACGAGAAGGTCAGCTTGCTGGAGGCCTGGTCAGAAGGCCAAGCCATGCCAAGACGGCTTACATGTGGTTTGTGATTGCAGGTTGCTGCAGCTGCAGGCAATGCCCGGTCCCTCATCCCATCATCACTATCATCATCATTATTACTATCACTATGGGTTTTCTGGTCATGTTTGTTTTTATTCTTGCTACTATGTTTCTTAATTACTATTATTATTGTTATTATTATTATTATTACTATTATTGTTAAGTGACAAGAGGTCAAAAGGGAGCCGGAAGGCTGCTCGGGGTTCCAAGGTGTGTTGCGCTTCTTCTCGGCAGCGGCGAGCTCACAGCGGCGGCTGCAGCTGCGCAAGATGCGGAGCATATTGATGCTCGTAATGTGGTTATAATGGGATAATGGAAAATAAAATGGAAACTACTATAATATATATTGGGGTTATAATGGGATAATGGAAAAGAAAATGCTCGTAATGTCAGATTAAGGGAAAGGGTCAAGGAATCTTCGAGACCTTGATGTGTATCTGAAGTTCAAAACTAAACATCTTAATGACACCGTCTTGAAGAGATGCTGTCGCGGCCTTACTCCGTGACGTGAAGCCAGCAGACTGAAGAGTCTCCAGGGATGACGATTCGTTTGCCGGTTCTCAGTCCTTTCTTTCACCGGGTTGGATCACTTTTGGTTGCACCCGTCGAGGGTGCATGGAAAGTTCTGTTTGCAAGGCGGAAGGACATGAAGCAAGACTGCATAGCTCCTGTTACTGCTGCAATTGAGAATGCGCATCTGCAAACATTGCCGCTGTCTAAGTTGAGGTGGGCGTTAGGACTATCTAGATTCCATCGGTGCTCCTGGTATTTGAGAAGGCCAAAAAGGTCAAGGTGCAGTATGGTGCAGTGGTATCAATCATCGAGCATCGACATCTGAAGATCCTGAAGCCATATGTCTCTTTGTTTTGTGAACGACCCTGTTGTTCTGAACTGAGGATATCTCCCGCTGGCTTCAATCTGCATCAAACAAGAGCAGCAAAGCCAATTGGCAGCAGGGGGTTTGATTCGGACCCGATGTGCGGACATGATGCACTACGCAGCCACATGTTGGACTTTCCTCAACTTTCCTCACTTCTTTTACGAGGCAAAGCCATGAACGTTTTAGTTTCTAGAGAGCAGGTGAAATAAAAATTCCAGCAGGGGCATCCCTATCCTCCCTCTCGCTTCAGCAGCTTTAGCGCATGGCTCATCTGTCAAAACCAGCATGCGGTGCAGCAGCCACAACCAAAGCCTCAGGAACACATCTGGGTTTGTACTCGGCGTCAGGGATTTGATTCCGTTAGGTGTACAGGCACCTCATGTAGCCAGTAAAGCTGTGGCACCAGCTTGATGCTTGCTTACTGTGAGAAACTCAGGTGCTTAGCTTTCGGACCTTCAAGTGCACACGATCTGCCAGTGCCAAAGGCCTTCTTGAAGGCTTCCTGGACGGTCCGGGCATGCAGGGTCCAGCGAACAGCTCACGTTCAGAATGCATTCTCACAGCGGTACCGAATCAGCCTAGTGGCCTAGTGTCAGTTCCTATCCCTGTACTCCAGCATTCTGCCTGAAGGAGATCAGCAGGCCAGCTGGCAGAACCTGCTGAAGCCCGCAGAGGTCACAAGTGTGTCCCTTAAATGGGCAGAGAGACCTGCCTGCAGCTGAAGGATCGGCAGAGCCAGGTTGTCTGCAAGAGGATGTTCCATCAAATGGATTTTGGAGACAAAGCACATGTCTCACTTTCTTTGATGTCTCCGGACGCACAGGGCGTCCTTTCGATTCAGGGGCCTGCTCTTGCCTCCTGGCAGGGCCAGGTCACGGAGGTTCTGACAGGTTGCCCAGCAGCATCAGGTGATCCCGTCTTGGGCATTTTGCCTGGTTGCTATATGTCTCTGCTACTCTGCTATATTGCCGTTTTCTGTCTTCGGCTCCTTAGGATCTACAGTAGTAGCAATTTCCTTTACAGGTAGATGCCAGTCCCGCGATATCAGGAAACTTCGGAAGAGACTCAAAGAGGGGCACACGCGCGTAGGGGTTCGGGAGGAGGACCTATGAAAGCCCGTCAGCCGAGACTAATGTGCACTTTGTCTTGCGCTCGTCATGTCCAGTTGTTGGGTGAGGCGTCGCGTAATCATCCTGTTGGATGCGATGATGAACTCCCTTGCTAATCCTTTTGTGTACGTCATTTGCATGCTGCTGCAAGTGAGTTGCAACTTGCTACGAGCCCAGGACGCTAGCAGAAGCGCAACGAGAGCTGCGATTTCTTGAGGAGATGGCCCAAACTAGTAGCGGCGCGTGTGCAGAAAAGAAGTTGAAAGTCAAGGGGATTCTTGCACGTATGGCGAGGACGACCTTTCTGGACAGGCTGCCATCCTTGGAGTTGACGTCGAATGCCACGAAGATGCATCAGAAGAAGCGGTGGCAGCAGTGCAACGCAGTGCATAGCTCCTCAGCCTGAGGTTATGCTGATGTGGTTTGCACGATTCAACTGGCAACGGCAAAGCGAACTATTGTCCTAGATGCTTTGCAGCTGCACAACCACATGGCAGACTTGGTGGGCCAAATCTTTTCGAATGGATCCGTCCTCAAACTCTTCCACGCTCCGCGCAACGATTTGCGATGGTTATGGGCAAACTTTGGAATCCAAGTGGTAGCTCGATTTTTTGAGTGGTTTCCATTCTCGTTGGTATGAAGTCATATGACCCAATTCCCTAATAAGGACCCATGTCCATGGAGTGCAGAAGGAAACCCTGATTGTAAGTGTACTCACATGTGTCAGATTTGATGTTTTTTTTGAGGTGAACATGTTTGATACCTACACTGCAGCTTGGCTGGTGGAAGATGCGAGCCAAGAGGACAAGCCTGCTGAACGTGGCCGCAGCAGCCTCAAGGGACTCTGCCAGCGATTTCTCCAGATCGAGTTGGCGGCTTTGCTGGAAGTTGTCTTGGTATGGGCTGGGCAGGTTCATGATGAAGCGCCTCCCCTCCTTTTGATCTCTCTGCCTTGTTGAAGTCGTGATCTTACCGAGTTTCTGTCTGTGTCAAGCCTGTCTCGTACTTCCACCGGACTAGGATGTTTCATTGATGTTTCCCTGTGCCTGGTTGCTAGAAGCGCCCCTAACTCCTAGGCTCTTAGCAGTTTCACTCAGGACAAAACCCACCAGCGCTCAGACTGGCGCCTGAGGCCTCTGCCAGAGGACGGACTTTGCTCAATGCTTTAGGTAAAGGTACAAAACCTTCCGTGGATCCAGGTTTTGGCATGTTTTGAAAACGGCAATAGACACAAGCTGAAGCGATCAGATTTCAACTGATCTGCTCAAGCAGGAGATGCTGCGCTATGCTGCGCGGGACGCAGAGGTCTGGACTCAGCATATTACAGCTGTCCGTGCTGCCGGATGTGGATAGCCATGCAGTATGTCATGCGCAGCAGACGAGTTTTGCAGCTGCGCAAGACGAAACTGGGAAAGGTGCTGCTCCCCTTGGCCAAGCGACTGGCAAGCATGGCGGACAGTGCTGGCATGCTTGAGGCGCTGCAAGCTGTCATGGCCTGCAGTCCCCGAAAGGGCAGCTAAGACTTCCCTCAGAGGTTTTGTGAAGCTTGTTTTCAAGCAGAACTGATGCGGCAGAATAACTGGGTTGCTGTTGAGGAACTTAGTTTACGTTACTATATTGGAGAAACCATATTAATTACTATATATGCTCAATATGGTAACTTGATTTAAGTTCCTTAACGGCAACCCAGATATCTGGACTGCAGTGAAGGGATTTTGTGCGGGGGTGTGGGCGACAGGAGCCGCGGACCAAGGTTCAGAACACAAGAAAAGCCAAAACGTTCCACGCAGGGCCAGTGTGGTGGGTGTCCCGTAAAAGGGGTACATAGGGAGGGATATATGGATATTACAGGGATGTTATAGGGATATAGCGATATTAAAGGGATGATACTAGGAATCAGAAGTAAAATAACATGGAAAATGAAATGGAAACTGGGGGTATATATAGAGGGCAAGCATGTTGGTCTGTCCAGTGATCGATATGGCCCAACTTGTTCGATCACCATCATCATTGGCCAAACATGTTGCTGCAGGAATGCCGGCAGTCGTGTCGCAAGCAGCAGGCAGAGTCTTGTCCAATTGTTGTTTTTACAGCAGCTTCCTTTCTGGGATCCCGCACGCCGAGAGTATGTGGCCCCCTCATCATAGCTGCCATAGCCAGTATCTGATTGCCTTGCAGGTGTTTTGTTTTCAGCCGAGGATGTGCTTGGTGGGGAAGGCATATCAGTCGAACTGCTTGACAGCCAGCACCTCCTCTGCGTTGGTGGCATGCAAGGACTTGCTACGGCGTACACCATAGCCCCATACCACGATTCGGAAATGCGCTTCGGATTTGTGTCATGAACTGTGCTCGAGAAGCTATCGAACATTGAACCCAGGACGATGGACGCTTAGATCACTGCAGCTCTTGAGGCTGCTCCTGGAGTTCAAGATCATTTGTGCTGTGAGTCATGCAGTCATTGAACAACTGAAGGCCTTGCAGATGCAGGGATCCGGTAGCTCTTACACCCAGCTGCAGCTGAGCCCAAACCTTCTGGGCTGGCTGTAGTGTGGTGCGGGCCGAGGTAGACCTGCAGGAAGGAAAAACACATTTCATAAGCCTGCAGAATCTTTGCAAGGAGCTTTACGCTTTCCGAGTGTCTCCATGGTACAGGCAAATAGCAGCAGAGCATGACAGCCCCTTGGAGCATCGTTGAGCAGTCAGCTCGATTGTAAGCTGGTTTTGATGAACATGAGCTTGAAGACTATGTGCAAACATAAAAAGAGAGCAGAATACACAGCCACTTCATGGAGCTCCCAGACTTTGCATGCACTTTATTGGAGATCCCCAGCCCATCTGGGAACTCTCAACCATAATCTCTTGTACCACCCTTGTTTCCGAAAACCTTGAGCCATTTCTGAGAGTCCTTGTGATAAGTACACCCAGAAGTCTAAAGGCTCTCGGTTTTGAGCAACCCCAATCTGGGGTTGCCTAGAATTACCAATCAGGGGTCCCAATAATAAGGATCTGAATATGTTGGGGTCCCCCTATTTTGGGAAACTACCCTAAACCTTACACCCGAAACCCCAGAAAAGGAGCGTTGCAACAAAGAGTCCTACACCTTGTCTGTTCCATCCACTGATAAGCCTCGCCATGGCAGCAGTGGGCGACAGAGTTCGGTTGCGGAACTATCGTTTTAAGGCTCCTCGCTTGACAGCATGTGCGACCTTACTGGTTCTCAAGTAGGGGATGAGGGAATATGATGCCTAATATCATCCCGATATGAATTACTCCCATATTCCCTGCTGGCCCCCTGCAAGCAACAGAAGGGTTTCACCGTGCTTTCTTGCCGGCCCAGCCGTCTTCTGAGGCAGAGGGGACTGTCCGCTATCTGGGTGATGTTCCTGGTGAAGGCTGGGCGAAGTGTAGCCCAGACCCCTGATACGTAACCCCCCCTCGCCTTAATGGGGATGATAATCTTTCAATAGGGATCCCAATATTAAGGCCCTTGAACGGAAGGGGTTTGTTAATCAGGGGACCATGCAGAATCGGTGTTAACATTGCACACATTTCACTTACTTTTTTTGATTGTCTTTTGTCTTTTGACACAGGCATGCTTGCAAAATGGAAGGCTTTTCCAAGCCATGGCTAACTGCCTTGCCTTACGGCTCAGTGATGCTCGAGCAGTCTGCCTGACCTAAAACCCATCAGAACGATTTCTTAATGGGGTTATTTTGGGACAACCGAAAATGACATGGAAACTACTAGTTAGAATTCAGGGTTTAGGGTTGAATTGCGATAATGGAAAATGAAATGGAACCGACTATTTAGGGTTCAGATATTGTTATTTCCATGGCGACCAGGACCCCCAGCCTCAGCATGATAGCCTCCCTGCTGCTTGTGTTTTCTTCAACAAGCATGGTTGTCTCCCAAAAGAGGGGGGCCCAATACAGACCCCAATATGTTATGTGTTCGTTACTGGGGGTACCCAAAATTTTGGGCAACCCCCGCATGGTGGGGTAAGGAGGAGGCTCTGGCTAAGACATTTCAGAGGTTACCCGGAGCGTCATCTGGCTGCGAAAGCACGAAGCTTCCTACCCTACATAGCCCATTATATTAAATTCCGTTTTCTTTTCCATTATCCTCATATAACCCCAGCATAACCCTAATAATACCCGAAAGGGTAGGTATATCCCCTATCCCTATATAACCCCAGAATAACCCTAATAATACCTGAAAGGGTAGGCCTATCCCCTATCCCTATAATCTAGTATTTCAGGCTCCCTGGCCGGCGTCGAACTTGACCTTCCAGTTGGCAAGAACGATGGCGATCCTTTGAAGCAGATGAGTTGGGTACTGCCCCCAGCCAGTAACAGTTGGATAATAATTCTAATATGGTTATATGTAGCCCTTAATAGGACCCCTAATATAGAGTGTTGGGGGCAGTACCCAACAGATGAGGGTCTTAGCTATGGAGAGGTGGTTGTCAAGCAGCCCAAGTTGGGTGAGGAGATGACGGTCCGACCTTTCAAGTGAGTCTGGTCCCCGTTAAGTAGATAGAATATGAGGTATGGGGTATATGGGGATCTCATTATAATATACCCGAAGCCATAATATGTCTACTTAAGGGGGACTATAACTTCATGCTTCCTGGCTTGGGTTTTGATGGCAGCAGCTGAGGTGCGCGATGGTGTTAGATACTTTTCCTGCCAGCCAGGCAGCGGGAATGCAAGTTTGCATACTTTGACATGCGAGGATTGCTTTGCCACATGTGCCACCGACCAGATAGATGTCCTTGAATGAGCAGTTTTTTCATTTGAACCTCTTAAAACTGAATGTGGTTTGAGGTCTTAAGGATTGGCCATATAAATCTTATGCATGTAAATCTTATGTAACAATTCCGCCAATGTTTGCCAACCTCTGCTTCTGTCATTCTCCATGCTGACTTCGAGAGCCATCCTGCAAGTGTGTGTGGAGCTGCGCCACATGCAGCCACTTGAGGGATGCGCAGAGATCCTGATTATATTGGGGTCATGGAAAAGAAAATGGAAACTACTATAGTATATTGGCGTTATATTGGGATTATATTGGATGTGATAGGCGTCTGTAAGGAAGGGATCAGTGTCCAGCACCAGGCCATGGGATTTTTGTTCGTCCAGACTGGTTGATCAAGCTGGGTGACGAGGCTCGTGAGTTCACGGGGGGCTTCTGTTAAGGAACTTAAATTAAGTCACCATAACCTGGGCATGTAGTAATAGTGGGGTTTCTTTTTTACAGTAGCTTAATCTAAGTTCTTTAACAGCAACCTACAGGCAGTGGACCTTGTGTTTCCACATGTTTTCAGCCACATGTCCTGCCCCGTGACGCACATGTTTGGAACATATTTGGATGATGAACCTTGACAGGAAACCTCATCGCGACGCCTCCTTCGCAGCCAGGCGCGTCCCTGTGTTTGATATTCTTTCATTGATGTTCCGATTATTGTTATTAATATGGTAGCCTAATATGGTAATAACAGCTCCCGCTTTCTTTTCAGTGATCCCTACATAAGCCCTAGGATACCCCAACAGAACCCTACTAGACCCAAAATTATGTTCTATCATTATTGCTGTTGGGTCAGAAGTGCTGTGTGTGTAGCTGGCCGGTGTGCTTGCCAGACCGACAGCGCTCTGGAGTGCCTCAGATCAGCACTAGGTCACTAGGGTTCCTGTTAAGGAACTTGGATTAAGTTGCTAAAGTAAGACCCAGGATCTGGTAAGTTAACTTAAGTTCCTTAACAGCAAACTAGTAGCAGTCACCGGCAGTCACTATGAGCTAGCAAGCTGGGGCTCAGGTCTGGTGCTGCCTTAGAACAACTGCAGGAAGCCCTGGATGAGGCGTTATTTGCCTAGCCATGCGACCCGTGTGCTCCATGATGCCTCCCTGAAGGTGAAAGCGCGCATGGGGATTGTCGAGTCGATGGTTGAGCCTGAGGCGACTCAGCCAACTTGGGAAAGGCTACGCGTACTGGAGCTGCGGGTTGCCAATCTTGAGCACAGACCGGGGCAGGAGCAGGTCGCTCCGGAGACACCTGCTCTACCTGGTGCTCCCACGGGTACTGCAAGAGGGGAATCCGGCCAGTCAGATGGCGTCAGTGAATCTGCACGTGCAAGTGAACCGAAGAAGCACGTGATGGAATCAAAGAAGGACAACGTGTGCGAGTATGGTCAAAGTGCCATGAGCCCCAAGCTGCACGAACCACTGCGATTGGGCACAGAACTTACTGATGCTGGGACAGGAGGAGCATCAACTGAGGAGGGAGGTAAACTACAGAGCGCTACAGAAACGACTGTTGCAGAAGTAGGCCTCTTGCAGTTACAAGATCTGGCTCGCACTTCGGGATCCGGAAGGAATACAAGAGCCAGTCACGACGAAGTGTATGAGCAAAAAGGTATGTGCGAGCAGGCGGTGTCCTCAACCACTGGTCAAAGCGGGTTGGGCTCCATCGGCACACTGCAGAGGCACATCTCAAGTCTTGAGAAACACTACGCAGGAGTTGCAGCGGACATACGCTTATTGCAGGAAAGCGTGCAGAAGATACTCGCCCACAACAAAGACTTGACAGAGATGCACGGTACACTTCGTGACGGAATGTGGAAGCTGCAGCAGCATCTCAATACAACCATTGCAGCTTCTGCCGAGAAGGAGGGCACTTCACAGAAGCGCTTGTCAGAAGTTGAGGGATCCCAACAGCAGATTGTTGCATCAGCATCAGAAGCCCAGAAGAAGGTTCTGGCACTTTCCCGTAGAGTTGCAGCTGTAGAGCTGACCCACATGAATGCTGAACGGGCTGCTACTGTGGCTGCAGCTGAGACGAAGGATTTGTGGCAGAGGCTTACATCTCTGGAAGGTTTGCTGGGCTCGAGGGACTCCTTGCAAGAGACACCTGACGTGCAGATGAGGAGCAGATCTATCGATTCGGCTTTGAGCTACCAGGGTGCCAGAGTTGATCCGCATGTGGTGCCCTCTTCCAGTGGCCCAAGATCACCAGACACCAGATCTCGGACTGGGGCTCCCCGATCCTTCATAAATTGGCCATGGCGCCCGTAGTCTGAAGTTGTGCAGAACCACTTGAAGACCGATCCCAAAACAACAACTTCGTGCCGAACTCTGCTTTCTGCTGCTTACGCTGCTTGTAGGACGAGTGAAGGCCACAGCCAGAGCGATCTGGGAGGCGATGTTGGGCAAGGCTTGATCCCTTTGAAGGGCGAGTACCGCAAGGATGCATGCCTGTAAGCGGCCGGATCTTACTGCGACATCTCACGGAAAGCTCAGCTGCGTTCAAGCCGCTGTCATGCAAGCGGCAATCTAGAGCAATTTGTTTCACAAGCTGTGGGTGGAACGTGGTTTGCCGAGGAAAGATCTGCGATGTTGT